AATAATAATAATAGTAAGGTCTAGATCTGACTTTGTAAAGTCTCCTGAGATGACTTTTGTGGTGATTTGGTGCTATGCAGATAAAATTGAATTGAACTGAACTGAATGTGAAAGTGACAGACATTAAAAATACTGTAGCAGCCAAGATAAATACACAGTAACACTCCCATTGGAAGCCATTTGCAGGTATGGAAGTATTTTGATTTATAAAGGACATAAATGTGACATTTTCATCCTACTGTATAGGTTTTTTCCAGCTTTTTTTGTATGTGTGACCATGTAAATGCATCTACTGTCCAGTCAGACTTCGCTTTTTCAGCTTCTGTCAAGCTGTAGGACATGCAGTCTAGATGGACATGTCCCCCAATGCAACTATGGAAAAGTAGGACTGGTCTTTTTCAAAATATAAGTATGCAGTACGTAAATGGGAGCAGTGATGTTATTCTTGTGAGATGGTTGATATTTTTTTCTAAAGTTGTTTCAGTTACTGTTCTTTCATTTGTATATTCAGAGAGAGAGAGAAACCGGAGGATATGGTAACCCAGGAACAGACTTTCTAAACCATCAAAGTCCGTTTGGATTATGGATCTCTCAACCTCTCATTGAAACCTTCAGCTGTGTGGCCCATGGCAACAAACATGTTTAGAACTGAGCATTTGGATATCCTATGCAGTTATGTTGTTCATTTGGCTGGTGGTGTTCTCTTGACTTGCTGACCTTATCAGGAAAACCTCAGGCACTATTTAGGCTTTCAGCTTGTTGTTTGGCCTCATGTTTTCCCTCTTGTTTAGATTGGAAATGCTCCAGGTCATGGTAAATGGGGTGAGGATTGTGGGTGGGAAAAATGCCATGATTGTTTCTTTTATATTCCCATTTCGCATGACTGAATGTCCGATCTTTGCTAAAGTGAATTGCATAAATACGACATAGAGATATCATCATTACAATCAACACTCCCTTCTCCTGTTCAGTTTAAAATAGGACCAGATGTGTTCATATACATGTCAAATGTGAAGCAAACCTGATCGTTTCTTGGTTGAAAGACTCTGAACTCATACCCAGCCTTTGTGTGGCCTCTCAACCTTCAGTCAAACGAAGGGTTTTGACAAGTGACGGAGCCAGAAAAATCCACAAATGTTACCTGAAGGTCAACTTTTTGATCAACACTTGACTTTGTGACTTGTAAAAATACTACAGAAACTGGACCTGTAGATTGTTGATGCAGACATGAAGAAAGCACAAATGTATGTACTTGAAAACATTAACTGAATGAGACATATCGATAGTGTAATTTAAAGTCAGTAAGGAAAACGATAAATGAATAAATAAAGAATTCAGATCCTGTGTGTTTTTTATTTTATTTTATTTTTTAAATAGCACTTTATTTAGTGGTGTCTTATTTCTGTGTGTGTGTGCGCACTGTTGTTAAGAGCTCAGAAATAAAGAACCATCCCCACATCGAGCCAGCAGGCCCGCATCATCTGGCACAGCCACATGCCCCATCGGACAGACTGTCCTCTCATGTTACCCTGCGATCTTCTTCTCCACTTTGAACCTGATTCACTTCTCCTTTCCCAAAACAAAGCCCTTGGGGAGAGTAAAGGAAACAGAGTGACAGGGTCCCCTGTGGTTGATCCCTGGGAGTGCCCATCTGGGGAAGAGGAACGGTTCTTGTTGGAGACTAATTGAAATAACCTGGTGTGCTGGACATGGAAGGCTTTGAAGTTTTTTTGTTTTTTTTTTTTTGCTGTATGTGAACATTGTTTCCTAACTAGCAGTTGTGCAATGCTGTATTCATTACCAGCTCCTGCAGATGTTCACTGTTGCTCCTCTGTCATGCCTCAGGGCCCCCTGGGACCCTATTGTTTTCACATAAAAAACAATTATGTTCTTTATGAGCATAAATAAGTGCACATGCACCCACTGAACATGCTGTGTTACCTGGCAGTGGAAACCAGTCCCGATAAACAGGACACGTCTCCATGTGTGTGTGGTGCTCTGCGGTCTTTATACAATATCAGCTCAGATTTAACTCGCTCACTGCATAATCTTCTAACTGGGTGCAAAATTCCCTGCTTTCATGTGTCAGTCAGTGCACACAAGGGAGGCAGTGGAGCAAGCTTCTGCATCTGTTTGCAGAGTCAGTTACTGATTAATTGAGTATGGATGGATGTAGAGGGTTTTTCATCTCAGCGGGGGCCTGTTCCATCCCTGAATGTTTATGCTCGCTTATCATCCTAACAACCCAGTGTAATTAGTTCAATCGAATTCAAACACAAGTAAATGTTAATGTGCTCTGTGGAAGCCTGTTGCTTTCACATGGGACTTTTCCCATATCTCAGATCTGCTCTACATCCCTGGATTACAAAGAGAGGCTTCAGAAGCGGCTTTTGGATGAGGCTTTTGTTTTGGGTGTGCTTTTTTGTTTCATGTCAACTCCAGCTTTGCAGGTGTGCTTTGTCCCCTGTCTCCTAATACCTCATGGCTGAGCAGCACCTTCTGATGTTAGCTTCTAATTTTAAGGCGTAGGTTGGAATAAAGATTGATTTCAGGATTAAGATGTTTGTTCAGAGACAGCGTTTTGTGTTTGAATTTGTCACTGACAACTGGAGCGTGTAACCTTGGGGAAAAGACTTGAGCAAAGTCAGCTAATCCTAAAGAAGATAAAAAAAAGCTAGATTTCTTTTTTTGTTGTACTTTATTTTTACAAACAGAAAATCCTGAAACCATTAGCACTGAAGGTGCAGTGTATAAGATCTAGAAGGACTTATTAGCAGAAACCAGCTATAGTATACATAATTATCTTCTCATTAATGTGTAATCACCAGAAAATAAGAATTGTTGTCTCCTTTTAGCTTTGAATGAGCCTTTTACATCTACATAGGAGCAGGTCCCCTATCATGGAGGGCACCATGTTGAGTCGCCATGTTTAGCCCAGAATGGACAAACCACACGCTGGCTCTAGAGCATGAATTTTACATTTTCATGCTGAAGTAGCAGCTTGGATTTGGAGATGCTTGGAAGACAAATAAGTAATGTTGGAAACAAGAGGGAGCATTGTGAACTTTATTTTTAAGAAATGGAGTATCATAGTTACACTTTAATACAAAAAAAAGGAAGACGCCGTGATTCTGTGTCGTCAGAAAAGTAAAGACATGAAGAAATTGGATAGGCGACAGCACGAGACGAGGATAAACATTGGTGTGGCCTTTCCCAGATGGAAATCCTTGAGGAGGGACAAATGTTTCCAAAATGACACAGAAGTTGCCTGTTTTCTGCTGGACAGGTAATTTAGCCTGACAAGTAGAGTTGTTTGATAGTTTTAGCTAGAGCGTGAGTGTCCAACTTGTCCTACATTTATGCTAATCACTGTGAAACAAACATTCCAGTTTGCCTTAAATACTGTATAAGCAAAAATAATTTGAATCCTTAGTGTCTGCGATATGATTTTACATCACCCGGTTTCCAGTTCCAGTTTCTGGTTTGTAATGCATTTTATGAGTTAATTTCTCCATAAGCGGACTTCCTGAATTCTGATTGTCAGTTGTTTGTCTTGGCATGTTGTCTTTTTCCAGTCTCCTGTGATTTGATTCAGTATTGTGATTTTAAATATTCACAAGCTTAATTTACTGTTGATTTATATTGTTACCCACCTTTTCAAAACTGTGACAGTTGGTACGCGAGTTTGACAGAACCCCCAATGAAGTTACGACCTAGAGCTGAACCTCAGCTTCTTCCATTAAAGTGACTCTTCAAACATAAACCTCTCTTGATCTCAACCCTCTGTATAACTTCATCACTCAGAGACCAGCTACTAGTGTTGCCCCTTCTCAGTCATCAACATCAGAAGCTGAACTTCATCCCCTGAGGCACCAGCAGCCGTTACGACCCAAGGTTGTTTTTTTTTTTCCATTGGAGTCAGTTCTTTTTATAATGGAGCATGTCATTCTCCCAGGCCACTGAAAAGGCAGATACCTCACTTTACTACGCCACAGATGAGTGTAGCAGAGCAAAACAGACCCAGGTTGCCTAATCTATCCTTACAGATGTTTGTCAAAGACCATGCCCAACACACGAAGCCATTAAAGAGCAAATCAATCAACCAGCACTGTGGCAGCTGAGGGGACAAACCTTCACAGAAAGCTTGTGGAGGGGCACATTGCCAGGGGAGCTCACTCACTCATTCACTGTGCTGCTTGTACCAAATATAAATTTATTGCAGGCTCTTGAAAACTTGTGTTTTTATAAACAAGGAAACTGAGCGGAAGCGATTACCCGATTTAGTGATTCAAGCACAAAGCAGTGGAGGGAACCAACAAAGGAGAAGTGAGAGGAGAAAATAAATAATGAATTTTTGGTGTTTGCCTTTTATTTGCCAAGAGGGGGAAATACTTTCAGAGTTCATTCTCATAATCCTCCAACAATGTTCCCCTGTGATTTCTCAACGGAAAGGAATACAAACCAATTTCAAAATGAATCTTTTATGCACAGATCAACAGTTTTTACGAATAGATGTGCATCACAGCAGCCAACATTAAAGTTGTGCTTTGTCCTGGTTGTTATTCAGTGAAAATGTTCAGCTCTTACAGACATAGACTCGTTTTTCCTGTGACCTTGGTTCACTGTTCTCCATATATCTTTTTTTAACCACAGACAACAGCAGCCTGCCAACCGTGACAGTTCTGTCTACTTCAGTCACATCCCATTTAGAGCTGTGTTTTATTGTTGTGTGGTCTTTTATTTACTCAGTACTGAGCTGGCCAATATTTTTTAAGATTACACATATCATCACATCTCAGCAACAGGTTTTTCATAATTTGAAACGTATATTTTCAAATCATTCTCTCTTTTTTTCTATGTGTGTTCATGTCACTGTGGGACTAACAATGCTGGTGTCTATCTGGGGCGAACCTTCAGTCACCAGATAAAATCTGTCAAAGGATACATTTATCCCCATATACCTCAAGTTTGAGTATGTAAAGCTCCTTGACTGTAGATTTATGATAGCACCTGTCTATTACCATAGATCAAAATGTTTCAGAGTAAACTGTTCCAGCAGGCAGGGGAATTCCCATCAATCCAGCTCCCGAATCCCCCAGATCATCAAGAACTTTGTTCTTGCCATCAGAGAAAAAGCTTTGCAATCCTCCTCACCATTACGCTTAATGATCTGCTTAACTAGCTGAGAATAATCACAACTTCAAAAGTAACATATTCCTCCATGCTTGGTTTATGTTTTCTCCTTTTCGTGCACCATGGAGCTTATCTGATGCTCAGATATGATAAAGAAAGAATTAAATCTCTGTGGACGTGTAGTTTCATCTAAGGATTTGTTTGTGTGTGGATGTGCACACACTCTGAACCCCTGTCAGCAGTAGCACACAGACACCACACATGTACTGTAGATATCTTTAAAATGAAACCGTGGCAGTTTATACAAGCCCAGACGTGCCTCTCTGTCTGGTCTTTGACATTAACTGTCATTAGTGCCATGACTGAGAAACATCTTCGCTGATTGCAACACTTTTCTCCGTCATTTAATGTGGCACAAATAGTTGTTGGTCTACTAAGATTATATGTATTGATTTTGATAGGAATGGATAAGCTGACAAGTTCACAGTTGTTTATGTGGATGTTTTGTACTCGGCGTTGTATCTGCAGTAGTATAGCCCACATTCTTAGGGCCCAGAGGCAGATATTGTTTACTGTCTAGACATACTTTCTCTGTTGTGTCTGTGTATACTTGTGAATGTATGATTCATATCACAGAGGCACTGTTTTTATCTCTGTCTCATTATGAGCTCTCACCACTGTGATTTGTCATTTGTTCTCTTTGTCTCAGCGTGTCGGAACCCACAAGGTCAAAGATCTCATAAGTATTCATATCCGTGTCCCTGCTCAGTCTTTGCTAACTGAGAAAACTCAGCAGCCGTGGCACCATCAGTTTGATCTTTTGTTATTCGTTTAAGACCAGATGAGTTTCATGCAGGGTTTTCTTGCATTCAAATGAGCTTCTGAACTGCTGAACTGCATGTGTTTACTCAGGAATTAGTACACGTCGTCATCAACATGCTGCAGTAGCGTACAGAGTATATCCAACCTGTACTTTAGCTGTCCATCTAAAGATCTCAGTACACTCTGCAGGTATTTCACATCATTTTGTTCTTTATGCTTATACTCAACCTTCAAAATTGAGTACAATTAAATTAATTACACAATGCTGTATATTATAGAGTTGAAACTGTAAATGAGTTTACAGCTATTCTGATAAAGGATTTGCTAATCTTAGAAAGGTAGCAAGAGGCTAAGCCATTCAGAG